AACAGTAGCAAACTGAAATGATTAAAATAATACAGTATATTACAAATTTAACAATATATAACAAATGGGTCTAAGATATACAAATAGTTCAATTAATTATTTTGATACGCCTGCCCTAAAGTTTCCTGAAAAGCCTTCAGTCAATCTGAACTGCCACACCTGAGTGCTAACAGAGACAGAAAAGAGATATCACATTTCGCCTTCTTTTTTTTTTTTAACAGGATAATCTCATTGAGATTGGGATGTTTTTCTTTCCAAGAACATGTATATGGAAACACATACAAAAATTTAGACAGCCACATAATAAAACAACACATTATACATGTGTTGCAGATAAATAAATTCAATGAAATGAAATCCAGTGCTCTCTGTCATATCAAGACTGTTCCCCCCCTGGTCATGGCGCATGGATACTTTTTCAAGACACTCCGGCCACACCCCACAGCTTACATAAAAAACAGCTGTGTGGACATGAAACTGGTGATTGTTTGATCTCTGCTTGTCAGTGCATGTGTGTGACACAAGCACACACATGCACTGAACACAGCAGGAGACATCTTGTAGAGAAGGGGCTCGAACTCAGGGGAGTGGACCAGTATGGACCTGTATGGACTGTTTTATATTGCCAGCACAGACCAGAGGCCCATGATGGCTTTTTTTGCCTCCAAAAGTGTGGGCCACCAACTTCCTGACATGGCTAAGGCTAAGGCAGGGAAAGTGGATGCCTCCCAGGCAGTGGCATCCGGGCCCATTGGCGGGATTCACTCCCCCATCTGCTGAGAGGCCATGCCCATCCCTCAGTAGCCCCTCCCTTGGCCCTGCAGCCAGGCAGTCCTGTGGACAACCTCCGGCTAACTCCCCAGGTACAGTGTCAGGCTGGGTTAGATTTTCCGGCAGCTTTTGTCTCCACTATTGGTTTGGCATCTTGAGTGCCAACCATAAGTAGCTGCTCTGTTGCGGTCTTCGCATCTTGCAGGACTTTGTTTTATGTGTAATAATTAATTACGTTTTTTTCTTTTCCTCTGTGTGTTTGTGTGTCCAGAGTGTCGCAGGTACAATTTACCGTGTGGAATACACCATCCAGGAGACCACCTGCCCCCACAGCACAGAAGCAGTGACGGCTGAGAACTGCCCCCCTATGGACTGCGAGTTTGCTGTGAGTCAGGAGAAAGAATTATTAGTCTCACTCATGTAAAGTTGTAATCACACGGGTTGATGAGATCAATGAGTACAGTATGGCTTTTCTGATCAGGGGGTCATTGTAGTTTTAATGCTGCAATCAAAGACCTCTGCTTTCCACTCAAAGCTCTGAGCCAGTGTGTTCTAAGTTCTACTGACTAGTTTGTGAAAGCAGAGGATTACTTTTTCATTCAGTATGTGTAATTGTTCCGCCGTAGTAAAACCACAGGCATCCTCAATCCTCTGCTTTCTTAAGTTTTTTCTTCTTTTTCTCTTCTCAGCACAAGGGCTTCTGTAAGGCATCCCTCTTCCAGCCTCTTTTTGATGAGGGGCAAATTAATGTCGACTGTGAGATCTATGAGCCTGAGGTAAGACTCATTAATATGTCATATCTGTATTGTTCAAATATCCTTCAGTCGCATAGGGAACAGTGTAAGTAATAAATGCTGATGGGGGACCTAAGAAGGCACTTAGTTTCCTTATGCCTTGGGCTGGCTCTGTTTTGTAAACTCTTTATTATAGTACACTCTTTATAAATTCTCCAGGCTGCTCAGAGACAGATGAAGCTCCACCTGCTGGGCGGAGAGACTGACCACAGCCACAATGACACACACTCACACAGCCACGACCACACCAAGAGCCACTCTCATCATGGCCACAACAGAAACCAAACTGATGACCACGATCACCACCACACACATGACCATGCCACAGGCAGCGCCCACAGGCACGCTCATGACCACTCCCACAACCACGGTCTGAACCACGATCATGTGCACACTCATCACGACAAAGCACACAACCACAGCGGTGACTCCCCCAACCACCACCATGACTACAAGCACACTGTAGGTGTGCACACCCATGAACATGACCACGAGCTGGCTCTGGACCACGACCACAAGCACGGTCACCTACATGAACACGAGCACCACCACCATCACCACGAGCAAGAACATGAGAACACACCCCAGGATGGTGCAAAGGGAACAGTGATAGTCCTGCCTGCCTTGGACCAGCCTGTGACCTTGCCTTCCTTCCCTGATGTCCCCGCCGGTGGGCCTGGAGTTGGAGTCACTCTCCCACTTAAGCCTGACCCTCAGATTCCTGGACAGATGGAGCCCACCATCGAGCCCTTCCCAACCTCAGTCTCTGCCCTGTGCCCCACCAAAAAGGCAGGGGATCAAGATGTGGGGATTCTCTTTGCTAATGACCCCATGTTCAAGCCGGCTGCATAATGTGGTGTATGAAACTGTAATAAACACAGTGTGCAAAACTCATTTAATCACTGAACTATATAAATAAATATATATATATATATATGTGTGTGTGTGTGTGTGTGTGTGTGTGTGTGTGTGTGTGTGTGTGTGTAAATGGTAAACGGACTGGTTCTTACACAGTATAGTGCTTCCTTAGGCTACCTGAGGACTCAAAGTGCTTTATAGAACTTCATTCTTATTCGACCTCATTCACTCATTCATAGAACCACTGTTTTCTATGCTTTTACTACATAAGTGCTTTCTAACATCGACACACATTTATATTTTAAAGGAAACATCAGAGAGCAATCTGGGACAATGGGCCCATATGGGTCACAAGGGCATGTTTGCTGGGAAGGTACACTTTAGTCGAGACAAGTAGCTTTATTGCCATTCCAACCGTGTGCAGTGGTACAGTACACAGTGAAGATGTGTGTGTATATGAGATTCTGCAGATAGGTGCTTGGTACTTTAAAATTAGTTCGTTGCTAAGTTACATGTAATGTGTTAATGCTGACATCCCTTGATTTAGGTAATGTTTTTCTCCTTGAATCATGTATCGGTTAGTGTTAAGTGGCTTCTGCTGAAAAGGTTAAAGTACAAAGGAAAACAGAAAAACAGAAAATTGTCCAGTAAGCCTGAGGAACTATTGCTGTAGATCAGTGGTTCTCAAACTTTTCACAGTGAGTACCACCTCATAAAATATATGGCTCTTGAAGTACCACCCTTATGATTAACATTAAAGTACAATAGTATAGGCCTATATACAGTTTACATGAGACAATTTTATTTCTTATATGAAAATTATTTATTTTAACTGTCATAAAGAGGACGTGACAAGTGATAATAAAAACAACTGTACTGCATTAAAACATTCACAGCAGGTGGGATATCCGGTCTTTAATTGATGACGTATGAACCCTACTACCGGGTCCAAACTACTCTGGGTTTATTAAGGCTGCTGTGTTTTTAACATATTTTAATGCTTTGTATTTTGTTCTATTTAATCTGAACAAGCGTTTATTTACAGTGCAGCAAAATGACAATAAATCCCCGTGCGCTTCCCTGACTCCTGTGTCGTGTCTTCTTCTCAAAAGTCCATGCTCAGTGCTCTCCACTCCCGTGTGTCCCCACACCCCGTCGAAGAGCGCTCAGCCAAACTGTTAAATAGCTCCCAGACGAGGCTTGATGAGGTGTGTGTGATTCTCCTCCGCAGGTGTGGCCTTTCTGACACACCCACCAGGCCTGAAGAACCGGTGCTCTGCCACACACACACACACACACCTATACACAAACATAGAACAGCAGCACCAAAAATACACATGTCCGTAACTTATTCAATAACCCTGGGGCCCTCAGACCCAGGTCTGTGACAAGCTCCTTGGATGCAAAATAGATAGAAATTCAAAAACATTTTTCATATTACTGTAGTTTAGTAGGATTATGACTTTTACTGAAGTAAAGCAGTACGAGTTCAGTACAAACTATTTTCAGAGACTCACACAGTGCTGATGTTCATGTAATGCATAGGTGTCAAACTCTGGCCCGCAGCCTAATTACATTTGGCCCGCGAAGCCATACAAAATTACTATTAGAGCTGGCCTGCCAGTATTATACAGTGCATGTACTGCTAATACTACAATTCCCAGAATGCTCTGTTGGTGTTTTGGCGTCAGTCATGACAGGACCCATTAGCACCCTCTCCTCTGTTGACCATAGTCATAGCAACCATGCAAATACTGCCATGCTACCTATCCCAAAATGGCAAAAAGAAAGGCAGAAAACAGGAGCTTTCTGGACAGGTGGGAGAATATGATGAAAATTTGATAAATGATAAAATGATAAAATTTAATTCAGAAGACTGCAAATACATTTTTTATTTAAGAAATGAATTCCACTGATGTGTTATTTAATTGGAATTTTGACTTTGCATGTGTGCAATATTAAATTATATATACATTTATATAAGTTATATATATTGTTTAGTATTAAGCTTTGCTTGTTCCATATTCAGTTTTTCAGCAAAACTTGTTTGAGTCCATAAGAAAAGATTCCTTGTTATCTTTGGAGGAAGATTTCTTTTCAATGAACATTAATGTTAGTCCGCGACTTTGATCCAGTTTTGAATTTTGGCCCACTGTGTATTTGAGTTTGACACCCCTGATGTAATGCATCTGTTCTAGCACAGCAGGCTGCACACGAGCATGCAGAGTGTTTGCCAATGTGACAAAAATGATTAGGAAAAAAGTTATGAGTCAATCTCTAATTCACATTTCAGGAAACACGCCAACAGAAATATTTACAGAAGATAAAAGTATATCCAAAACTCTTTGCAGCATAAGTCAAACTTTTTCTAAACTCAACTAATAGATAGATTTCTTCATTTTGAATAAAGAAATCAAATGAACAAAAAGCACAGCTAAAGAGCAGCTACACACAGGCCATCAAACAAATATTGATATAAAATATATCAACAAATGCTTTCTGTTGAGGATAAAGGTTTTTACTGTATAGAAATCCTCTACTGCACTGTACTTGCAAGGTAAATCTTAAAAATTAGCACTAAAGTACCCCAAAATCATGTTTGCCCTACAATACTGAGTCACATGGAACAATAGTTGAAACCAAAACCAGCTTTAGCCGCCTGTACAGACCTGTTGGGCTCCACTGTTGCTAGCCCATTAAGTTTGATATGATACTACTGACATGAGCTTTTTAGATTTGCCAGTTACAGTTACTATGAGGAAGTATGAACTGGCGCACATAAAAAAGAAGAATCAGCAGCAGAGAAGTGGCTTACAGTGACGGAGTGCTTTGCAAATGGCCCTCACTTTCTTTTAAGCTTCGATGAGATGAGCTGAGGAGAGTTCTGCTAATAGAAAGCTCACAGGCTATTCATCAAGACTGCGTGACTTCATTTCTTAAAGAATTTTTTTAAAAGCAATATTCAAGAGCTGAAATGAGGTGTGCAGTGAGCTTTTTAATTGATTTGCCCTGTTCCCCAGTGCACTGTGACCGCTCAGTTTGTCTGAGCCAGTCATTGGCCTGCAGAGCAGCTGATAGCAGCTGTTTGTTCATCCTTTCAAGAAGAGGAGAAAGTCCAGCATCAGTCTCACATGTGTCTCTCGCAACTCTTTGTGTAAAAGCTGGGATTACTTATTAGGTCCTGCAAAAGACGATTTCCAGGTCAATGCATGTTTCAGTTTCATTAATAAATGATCTGCCAGCATAGGATTTAGTAATTCAAGTAGGTGGGATTTTTTTTTAATTGGGACCAGTCTGTATGTGTGTTAGATGAGGATGAGTGTGTACCTGCTGGTCGTATGTTTGGCTTTGCTGCCCCAGGGAGGGGAGGCCTCGGACCCTCCAGGCTGCATGAGCCCTGATGCAGTGCGAGTGGCAGAAGAGGCGCTGGAACAGATCAACCAGGACAGGAAAATTGGATACATCTGGAGCCTCAACAGGCTCTATGATCTGTCTCACACTCCAGAACAGGTCAGGGTGAATTATGCATATGCATGCACAAAGACATGATCATGCAACAAAGGCATGCTGCAACATATTGACCAGCAGCCATGTTGTTTTTATGTTAGAAAAGTCACAAAAGGAAGAAAGAAAATAGAGTTGCTTATTTATAAATGTGTCCAGGGGAAAGATGGATCTCTGTACAAACTAACCATCGATGTCATGGAGACCAAATGCCACATCACCAGTGGAAAACCGTGGAAACAATGCGAAGTCGGAAATATTGGGGATGTTCCAGTAAGTACCAAGCAATGCACATGTCACAGAACACATTATAATCTGAGATGATGTTTGAAAGTGAATATGTCAAAGATAAAAGCCTGAAATGTTTACTGGTCTATATTACCATGTCTGATATTTGAATGTATGCAAACTTTGGGCCATACATTTTTCATGCAAATTGTGGAGGCAGAGGAAAAAAAATATAGTGATTTGAGATTCTTCAAAATGAAGAATATGCACACATAACTACATTATAACTAGCATCTTGAAACTCCAGCATTTTTGACACTATTTGGACAGGACAAAAATTTTATTTTTGTGATATAAGTTTTTATAATCCGTCATCAAATTTAAAGGAAATTTTCATTTCCGTGGATTTTTTTCCCCATTTACCGGCCAATACTTTGACATTTTTTTGACATATCTGTCCCAAGTTATAGATCCTGATTGATTTCACAATACCAGACTGACAGAAAATATTTAGGTCTTTTTGAAGTAAAGCTGTATAAAATTATCAGAAAATTTGACTTAAAATACCAGAAGTTGCAGCGACAACCTTTTCAGAGTTTTAATACAGTGAGTCTCCTGTTGTCTTTGTTTTACAAAGCACTGCATTGTAATGCATACATCCATACATCCATATGTTCTGCATGTATGAGCTTAGTAAAGTAAATAGTTTTTTTATGAATGTATGAAATTTCTTAGCTGCTGTGGTTCACCTCTTACACGTACATGTGTCTTTAGCTGCTGTATAAATGTGTTTGTGTATTTCAGGTGTATGGAGAGTGTCAAGTATCTGCCTATGTTCACACTCAAGTCAAACTACAAAGCTACTCCTGTACAATTCGTCAAGGTAGATCAAAGCATCACTGAGACTCTTCTGCATTTTTGTCAACTTCACTGTATAAAACAGAAAATTATTTGCGGCGTCTTAGTCACAGGCATTTTTTTCCAACAAATTAGCAAGACGGTGAGAAGATTCTCTGATCAAAAAACAAAAAAACTTTAGACAAGAGAGGAGATTTGAAAGAAGAAGAGTTTTCAGAATATGAGTTTGTTGTCTTTGGTGAACAGGACAGTGCAGACATTAGACAGTGAAGTGGGGACAGACTGAAGAATAATGACACACAGGAAATGGTGTGGGGCAGAGAGTCAGACCCAGACCCGTGCAGTGAGGACTCTAGCCTTCAGTACAAACCAGGTGCTACAGCAGCACCTGAGCCAGCTCGATATAAACCTGTCAGCAAGGCTAAAAATACTGATGCACAAACATGATAAAAG